GGAGCCATATTCAACTAAAGGGCTAAAAATGGATAAACTTGACTGTTGTAGATCTAAAGTTGCCTTTTTCCTCAAATTCAAAAAATCTTTGAGTATGTCTGAAAAAGCCACGATTCCATTTTCTTTAATATCCTTGTAAATATTGGCATGTTCTAACCGAATAACCTATTCAGGAGACACTTACTATTTTATACTGAACTCTAATGCAGACATTATCAGAAAAAATCCAAGAATTGGATAAGTTACGGAATGAATGGGCATCTCACACAGCTGCACTGTCGAGTAAGCACTCTCAGGAGCTGACCAGTGAGAGGGAAAAGGCCTTGCAGGTATGGACATCAGAAGAAACTGGGAAAACGTTTCGTTATGGCTCTTAGTCATATTGCTCATTATGAAAGTAATATGTGCTTGTTTTAAAATGTCCAGATATGACAGAGTCCATAAAAATGGTCTCTCTTTCAAAGTCTTACTGCCCAGAGATAATCTGTAAATATCTCATGGTTCATTCAGACTTTTCTCCATACTTGTAAATAATATGTAATTTATAAATATGTGTTTATGTTTGTAAAATTTGGACTGTGCACACACACTGGGTTTGGGTTTTGTCCTGTGCTAATGAGATCTGGGTATGTTGGCCTCATGTGGCATTGTTGGCATTGTTCTTTATTGGTTCAGATACTCCTTTTCAGTGGCTGCAGAGCATTTATTGTTGGGGTATAACATTATTTGACTGCTTACCCAACTGGTGGACATTTTCAATTTTTTGCTTATTGCAAATAATACTGTAGGTTCCTTGTTCCTAGGAGCGAGATTGCATATACCCACATAAACTCTTCCTTGATGCATTTTCTGATAGGTTGTGAGTCAGTCCTTTGAGGCTTTAAAACCAGGCCACTCTGTTCTCCTCTTGCTGGTAGATATTCTATGAGGCAGTCATTTTAAAACTTTAATGTATATCAGAATCACTTGAAATAAAGTAGAAAATGTAAATGATGTAATTTTGTACCTCACCTTTTGTTTTTTAAATCATTTTCCTCCTCTTACTGCCTTTGGCCTCTGTTGCCTTGAGTGTGTTTGCTACCCCCTTAGACAGTGACGGCGGCACCTTCACCACATGCTGTTGGTGTTATTTTTTTCTGGATTGCTCCTTCAGTGTTGTCTTCCAAGATTGCACTTCCGGTTTTATATGGATTTTTTCCTGTTTTGTCTTTATTGCTCCTTTCTTATTTCCATTCCAATTTTCAGAAATGAGGGAATTCATAAAGTAGTAACATTTCCAAAGTATTTTATGAAAGAGATACTTTCCTACACTTCTGGTAGGAATTTTTGAATGGGAATAACTTTTATGGAATGCAGTCTTATTTATATATTAATTATAAGCAGAACTTTATTTAGAAAGTCACAGAGGTAGAAGAAGTGAGCCAGCTGAGTTGTGTGGGTTCAGGAAGCAAATTACAGAGGCAGAAGAAGGGCCCTTGGAACTTAGAGGGGAAGAGAGAGAATATGCTGGAATGCAGTTTTAGAATTTGTATCATTTGTATCAAACAAAGTTCTATTTGTTTGCATTCTTTGGCCTATAATTGATCAAAAGGAAATAATGTGAATTTTGGATGTATGTCTATGTACAATAATAGGAATCATTTTATTTGTAATTGTGAAAAATTGGAAACTCAGCGTCCACAGTAGGGCAGGGATTAAATGAATGAAGGTACAGCTGTGGGTGGAATGTTATGCAGCTACTAACATGTTTACAGAGTTTTTTAATGATGTGAGTATATATAGCTTGGTCCTAATTTGTTAAATTTAAATATGTATATTTTGTATGTATGGGTGATGTTAATTTAAATATAAATGCCTGGGAGGGAATATTCCTAAATCTTTAGAGTGACTCCCTGGATGAGATTCTTGGTTACTTGTGATTTCTTTCTTTGTGCCTTTAAGAGCATGTATAACTTTCCTAACCAGAAAAGTATACTTTATTTTTAAAAGGTCATTAGGATTTGATAGTATTCATCAACAGAAATTACTATGTTATGTTTGTGGTATGATTCAAACAGGCACTGGAGATTACACAGTTAATACCATATTCAGATTTTATTTTTGGTAAAATGTAACTACTGAATGTAGCATTGAACTAATGTACTAGTGCACAATACTTTGCTGATTTCACAAGTTTAGGTGGTGTTTTTTCATTATAAAGCATATATATTTGATGAAAAAAAAAGGAAATATCAATATAATGGTGTTTGAAGCAAATACTGAAAGTTCCTTATGTACCCACTCATTTTTTTCCTTAAACAAATAGGTTTACACTATATATACTGTCTTGCAGTTTGCTTTTTTATTTAAGCAACTTCCCTGAACTTGAAGACCATTACATCTAAACACATGTGGGCTTAGGAGAGGCAGAAGTTACGACTGAGGTTAGAGCGTTACCCTGCCTTCGTTGTCCTTTCTCCTGCAGGAAGTCCATAATTGACAACAGATCCTCTTCAGAACAGGGAAATCTTATAATTATATAGAAGAATAACTGAGATTGTTCTTTTCTTCAAGTTTTCCCATATTTGTGTTTCTGGTTTTATTTTCCTTGCCTGTGGTACTACATTTTATTGTATAATAGGTGCAGCTTCAGTGCCAACAGCAGCATGAGCAGCAGAAGAAAGATTTAGAAATCCTCTATCAGCGAAGCACCCAGCAGCTGCAGGGCAGGCTGTCCGAGTTAGAGGCCGCCAACAAAGACCTCGCCGAAAGGAAGTACAAAGGGGACTCCACTGTCAGAGAGCTTAAAGCAAAACTGTCTGGAGCTGAGGAGGTACTGAACGTTAGGTCTGGTTCTTTTCCCTGATGTAGAGAATGCATGAGCAGCAGAGAGGACTGTTAACTAGGTGATGGCTCTGACCCTTGGCTCTCCTTAGAATCAGCTGGAGAGATCTAACTGTCCTGGTGCGCAGGCCACGCCGCATACTAACTAATCAGAATCCCTTGGGGATGGTGCCAGGCGTCAGGACAGGCACACCTTAGAGATGTTTTGGGTTGGGTTCCAGACCACCCCAATAAAGCGAGTACAGTGGTTTTTAAAACTTAAGAGAGTTCAATTTACAGATTAGTTTGAGAGCTACTGCTCAAGTTGTGGTAATTTATTCATAAATTACGATTGTTTTGTCTTCCCTTGTTGTGATTGGATTAGTTTTTAGCTTATTTTATGGCTGTACTCCAGATCTACAAGTTATTTATACACTTAGACTTTCATGTCCTTCAAAAAAACATCAGTGCTAGAACTTTAAAATTATTGAAGACTTTTTATATTGAAGCATCTTAATTATAGGTGATCTGATCAGCCAACTTCGCTTTTCCGCAGTGCATCATTTTTTTACCTCCTCTAGGAGCTCCAGCGGGCTAAGCAAGAAGTCCTGTCTTTGCGAAGAGAGAATTCTACGCTAGATGCTGAATGCCACGAAAAAGAAAAGCATATTAATCAGCTACAAACAAAAGTGGCTGTTTTAGAACAGGAAATCAAGGATAAGGACCAGCTTGTTCTCAGAACAAAAGAAGCATTTGATACAATCCAGGAACAAAAGGTTTATTTTAAAATTTTGTAAACAAACTGATGATATTTATAGTGATACTTTTCCTAAGCAAGTGCCCTAATTATTCCTGTTTTAAAAATAAATCAGGTGGCTTTAGAAGAACATGGTGAAAAAAATCAGGTGCAAATAGGAAAACTTGAAGCAACCATAAAGTCATTATCAGCGGAACTGCTTAAGGTTTGTCTGTAAAAGTTTAATAGAACATTAATATTGTGTGAGATTATTAGGAATATACATATGAAGCTCTTTTACAGGCAAATGAAATTATCAAGAAGTTACAAGGAGATCTGAAAACTTTAATGGGTAAATTGAAACTGAAGAATACAGTTACCATTCAGCAGGAGAAACTCTTGGCTGAAAAGGAAGAAAAACTGCAAAAAGAACGAAAGGAATTACAAGATGTTGCACAGTCTCTCCAAAATAAAGAGCAGGAGGTGCTTAATATTTTATACTTCTGAGAGTGATCATTTGTAAAGGATAATAAATTTCCTCAGATGTATAGTTTAATTTCTACTTTGTTATAGTAGAGAATGGCTTTGGCCCTTTTTTTTGTTTTTCAAAGAGCATGACTAGATTCAACAGATGTTAATAACTTATTTTTGTTTGAAAAGTTATGATTCACATACCTTTAGTGTTCGTGTGCTCGTGTGTGTGTACACACAAATATTTTCCTACGTAGGTGAGCTAATTTCTTCATTATTTACTAATCATTAAGAGTAACAAACACTTTAATTAATAGCAGTACATTTCTTCAGTTTCTATTTTAGTCTTTGTTATACTTATGAGGATTGACATATTTCAGGTATGCAAATTACAAGAACAGTTAGAAGCTACAGTTCAAAAACTTGAGGAAAGCAAACAGCTTCTAAAAAATAATGAAAAGTGTAAGTATGTTATCTATTTATGTAAATGAAATTCATAGTTTTATTCTTAACCTGAGTATTATGTTAGAATTCATAAAAGTCTAGGAAAATCAGAATATTGCTATATACAACTAATTTCTGCTTGAAATACACACTTACTGTCTTCGCTATAGTAAGGTATATCACCTGCCCTGTGAAACAACTACCATCATCACCAAAAAACCCAATATCACACATATCAGTAACCCAGAGTGCTGAAAATATTAACTATGATTTACTTTTAAAATTCTTTCTTAATTGCTGTATTTACCTGATAGTGATAATATGAATTATTTGAAACTAAAATATAAAGTTAAGCCTTTAACTTACATTTTTCTGAGTTCCTGGTGTTGGTTGTCAGATATGAGTGTGAACTGTAAACTGTACAATGAAAGCCTTGAGGGTGATCGCTGCCTGCAGACGTACCCACTCGGGTAGTGATGGAAGAAGGAGTCCTACGTGGCAATAGCTAAACTAAGACTCTTTAATGACAGAAATTTAAGTTAACCTACAGTGTATTCCTGTGATGTAAGGTAGTTTTAAAAACTTAAAATTTTAGAAACCTCAATATAACTTTTAGATATTTAAAATTATTAGGAAAATAAGAATAGTCTAAAATCTATTTCCCTTGTATCTCGTTTTATAAGTAATCACATGGTTAAATAAAGAACTAAATGACAATCAGCTAGTGAGGAAGCAGGACACGCTGGGACCTTCGGCCACTCCGCTTGTACATTCTGGCAGCACGATCAGAAGTGGAATCTCTCCTAACCCTAATGTGGTAAGATTTACATGAAGACAAAAAGTGTCCCCAGGTTGTTAGGAAGTCTCCATGGCGTGAGGGGCTGGTACTGATAGACTGGAGTCTACAGTTACTAGCACTGAGGAGAGTTTAAGTTGCCAGAGGTGGAGCATACAGGTGTACTTGCTCTTTCCAGAGAGGCTGTATTTCAAGGGCATACTTCTTGTAAGACTTCAATAGATGTAGAAATCATTCAGTATTAACTAAAGTGGTTCCAGATATGCTGAAAACTTACCCACACACACATACGCGATTTAGGAGGCCTCAAGAAGGGAGAACAGGGATTGGGCTCACGTTTGGAACTGTGGTGGAAGGAACCTGAACAGAATTCTATCAGAGAGAAGCCCTGTTACCAGGCTTGCCAGCTCTAGGTTCTAGAAAAAATTGGCTATGAGATAGAAGCATTCTAGCTTCCAGGACCAGATCTCTTGCTATTTCCTTGCAAGAAATGAGGCCTGGGTGTTGCTAGGAGCTGGACACACACCCCAGCTAGGCCTCGGGCTCCTGTAGAACCTAAACATTTCACACAGTGTCAGCATCAGATAAGCTTACTCTTACTGCTGGGTCAAGACAAATGAGACTACTACTGGCTGGGTGGCTTGGTTGGTTGGAGCGTTGTCCCATACACCAAAAGGTTGTGGGTTCAATCCCCGGTTGTGGTGTATACAGGAGGCAACCAGTTGATGTTTCTCACATCAATGTTTCTCTCTGTCTCAAAAAAAGTATATGTGTGTGTATATATAATCAATAAACATATTCTCAGATGAGAATTAAAAAGAAAAAAAAGACCACTCCATGATCATTTCTGAACACGGAGAAAAATACAAACATTGCCAAACCACAAAAGTGGGCAACCATTTTACACTTGGTCAACATGCGTGCTTCGTTCCCAGCCACAGCTTTGGCCTTGATACATTTCTCCTGCCTTTAGGTGAGATTTACAAAGGTACCTGGACAGACTGTTATCCTCACCTCCTCATAGCATCCCATCCATAGCAAAGCCCTGCTGTCTTAAACCATCCCTAAGTCATCTAGCACGTGGCTGTAAGTCCAGTGAATAAGTCCCTTTATCCGCCTAGGACTAAGACACCTGGGGTTCCTCGTGTGTGGCCTCCCTCGATGCATGGAGCAACAGTCAGCCCAGCATGTGCACCTGTAGATCCGTTTGTGCAGTCACAGGCCGGAGTGCATCGGTAGAGGACTTGAAACTCAAATGCCTAATTGAATTTTAATCTGCTCCAGTAAATCAGAGTACTTGGTGCTTAAAGAAGGGAAAGGATTTCGGCTGCTTTGGAAAAGGTGTGGAAAGAAGTGCCTGATACTGGATTATGAAGTTTGAAGGACTGATGATAAACAGCTTTCTTAAGATTTGTGTTTAAGTTGGCCTCTTATTAAATAAACTCCATGACATCGTTTAATGGTGTTACTAATGAAAGTCATTGGCAGAGCAAACAGTTGTCTCAGTTTAAGAACACTGATGATCTTGTTTCTGTCAAATTTTTTTTAAAATCCCTGACTGGTTCATTGATGTGTGACTCTACCCCCTTGTCCCCCTTTTTAGGAATGGGGGGCTAGAGCGAACCAAGGTGCTTCAGGGTCTTTGTGTTAATAGTTGGAGGTAGGCCCAGTGATTGGTTAGTTGAGCTTGCACAGCCCCTCGGAAAGCTGAGCTACCCCACCTCGTGCTCTGTGATAAATCAGAGTTTGTTGTTATCAACAGACTGGGCCTGTTAACTCAGTTACTCAGTTACTGTAACAGATGCTCCTGCCTCTTGGATCAGCAGATACCATTTAGAGCTAATCCTTGAATGTTTTGTGTGTTTTTTTTAGGTGGATGGTAGACTCACTTACCCGACTTGTGGAATCGGTTACCCCGTCTCCTCTGCGTTTGCTTTCCAGAGCACCTTTCCTCCCGTGCCTGCCAGAAATGCCATCCACCCAGTTTCAGCACCAAAGGTAGGAAAATACTTTTTATCTTTAAATAAAAACTGTGTGCTGTGATCAGTTGTGAGTATTAGGTAACGTGGGATGAATACGTTACGGACTGTCGATGTGTGCGCACAGGAAGTCTGTGTGCACTGTGTGGTGTATGTCTTGAGTCGCGGGGGGTATAACAATCGACGTCAGTTCGCTTAAGCTGTGTCTATTCCTGTTCGACCTCTCTTTTTATCCGTTCTACTTACATCCCTACACTCCCGAGCCTAACTGCAATTCCTGCCTTCCTACCGTGGGGATGGTAGCTGTGGCAGCTGTTCTGGATTCCAGTGCCAGGGCTGACAGGTCTAGAGGGCAGGCCAAGAGCAGGTTCTGAAACCTGGTTCCAGTGTCGTCTCAGCTGGCACATGCTCAGCAGTCCTTCCAGACCTCGGGCAACTCGCTAGGTCTTTTTTCACCCGTTTGAGGTCGTTGTCATCGCCAGCGTCCTAAATTTGTATGTTGTTTTCATGTGTATTATTTTAACTTCACAATGATCTAATCCACCCAGACCAGCCACTGCTTTTATTTTCATTCCTAACTCAGGTCCTGTTCATTTTTTTCTACATTATGGAGACAAACATTTTTTAAAAGATTACTTTATAAAAGGTACAGCAGAGGGCTTTGAGAGTGCTGTTAGGAACTCCTCCTCGAGTTGCTCTCGGGCTGCTGCGCTGCCTCTGTCAATATGAAACAAACGAACGAAACAGCACCCAACTCATGCTTCAGTTGTCCTTGTAAAGCAGAGCGGGGTTTTAGGCACCTCGCTGGATTACTGTGGGGTCAAGCGAGATGATGTATTTGCTTAGAGTATGACTTGGTACAGGATAACTACTCCATAAATGTCATCTCTTGTTACTCATAATAAAATGTACTCAAAAATAGACATTAAAGAATGAGATTAAAAATGTGCATAAGTCACGCTGGCCGGTGTGGCTCAGTGGGAGGATTGTCCTGTGCACTGGAAGAGTGCAGGTTCGATTCCCGGCCAAGGCGTATACCCCGGTTGCAGGTTCCATACTTGGTTGTCACCCATACTGGAGGCAATTGATGTGGCTCCCTCACATCAGTGTTCCTCTCTCTCTAAAATCAATAAACGTCTTCTAGTAAGGATTAAAAGGAATGTATACAAGTCAAAATTAGGATTTTCTTCTCCTCCGTGGACGGTTGCGATCACCGCCTGCTTTGGAGACCCCTGGTCTGGGTGGCCTTGCGCCGGCGTCTGCTGCCGGAAGCCTGTGCTCCTCCAGCAGCTGGCGCCCTGCTGCTGCGTCATCGGGCCGCTTGCACCGAGCTTTCGGTGCCCACCCAGAGCTTCAGCAGGGCGTGTGGGCCTTATGCAGTCCCCGTGTAGGGTGAATTCTAGGAAGTAAATGGGTCACAGGCATTTTGGCCTATGTGGCGTTTCCCTGGTAATGAAGTGAGGAACATCTTTTTACATATATATGGGTTATATGTCTTATGTAAAACTTCTGTTTTTCAGTTTTATTCATCTTTGTTTGGGATATTTACTCCTTATTAAGTGATGTCATAAATGTCCTTGTATGTTCCCGACATTAGCTGTTGGTTTTATATATTCGCTGTCATCCTTTCCATATTTTGGACTTGTCTTTCTATTCTCTTTATGGTGCCTTTTTTTTTTTTAATTTAAAACTTTACTAAGGTATAATTTACATACCATAAAATTCTCCCATTGTTAAGTTTACAGTTTAATAATTTTAGTCAATTTATAGAGTTGTGAATCCACCACAACAGTCCAGTTTTAGAGCATTTCTGTTTTGCTGCAAGGTTTCCTCGTGCTGTTTGCAGCTAATCCACACTCCTCCCCTAGTCGCGCAGTGTGGTGTTTCCTTGTCATCTTCGCTCAGCACCGTGTGTTTGAGATTGACCCTGTGGTGGGGTCAGCAGTTCATTTCTAATTGCTCGGTGCTGCTCCCTGTGTGCATGGGCCACATTTCTTCCTGCGTTTGCCATTTGATGGACATTTGTGTCATGTTCAGTTTGGGGCTGTCACAAATAGAGCTGCTGTGAACATTGGGGTACAGCCTTTGTACTTCTCTGGGGTGAATACCTACAAATAGAATGACTGGCGGCATATATATAATTTTTAAGAAACTGCCCAACTTTTCCGAAGTGAGTCTACCACTCACGTCCTGCACCAACTGTTGTCCAGTGTTTGAGGACATTCTTTTTGTTTATTTTGTCCAGTTTTTCTGGTTGTTTATGACTGGAGGTCAGAAATTATATTACGTATTTAATATCCAATACTCTTCATATTCCCTATTTCTTTTGCATGTTAATTTTTTATAAGGAATATTAAAATCATCTTGCCTTGCTTTAAAAAATCCTATTTGTGTTTACTGCTGTCGTGTTAAACATGTAGCTCGATGCTGGGAAAGCTGTATCTTTAGAATGTCAAACCTTGATGGCCAAGGACAGCAGCCTCACCCCCCTCGTTTATAAGGGTGCTCTCATGCTACTGTCTGTCCCTGCCGATTTTATCCGGAGTTTTTACCAAAAATAGGTATTGTTTTCTCCTTTGGTCTATTAGTGTGGGGATTTGTGTTTGTGGGTTCCCTAACATAGACCCGTTCCCACACTCTGGTGTGAGACCCCCTCAGTCACAGTTGCTGTTACTTTAAATATACTTGCGTGTCTTCACGCCGATACTTTGGTTTGGGCTGTTACATGCATTCTTGGATTACTTCCGGTTATTTCAAAACTCGAATTCCTAGCCCTCACTCAGGACCCTTAAACAGATCCAGCGTAGGCTGTGGAACTTCTTGAGGATGTGTTGTTGCAGAACTTGTTTTTGTAGCACCGTAACACTCATTTAAATGCATCAGTGTCCTGCTGTGTTTCCGCCGTTCATCTTGCTTGTGTGACAGGAACTTTTCAGTCTTCTCAATAAAATGTGTGTGTTACGAGCTCTACGTCGAACCCGGACCTCTGTGGTCCAGATTATCAGAAAAAATTAACCGCCTGTCGCCGTATAGAATTGTCCCGTCCTCACCAGGTTAGTCACTAGCCGTTTTCTCGCCCCGCAGGTTCAGTTTAACTTGCAGTTCACCAAACCGAATCCGTCACTAGATGCTCAGGCAGGAACGGCTGTCAGTGTGCCGTGCTCGGCGGACAAGGAAAAGTAAGTACCTGGTGACAGCGCAGCGTTTGCCCTCCTGGAGGACGGCCTGGGAAGCCTCTCTGCTCGACAGGCTCCAGGGCCTGCTCGTTTATCTGTGACTTTCTAGGTTGATAGTCAGTTGAACTTAAGTTCAGTTCCTCCAGCTATAAATGTTTTCAAACTGTAGGATACAGTTAGATATATAGTAACCTTTTATTTTTTGAGAGGAATTTTTCTACATAACCGAAGATCCCCTTTCGAATATTCTTGGGCAGGTAGCTAGAAATCTTTTTAATTCCTCGTATTCAGCTCTTCTGGTTTTATTACCCTATGCGCCGCCTGCCTATCGTATGAGGTCCCGTAGCGAACATAAATAAGCTTTAATGTCAGTTTGTGACTCCTTGTGCCTGCTCAGGTTCCCTCCTGTTTCTTGGATCTGAAACAGGTTTTCACAGTGACTTTTGTTGAGTCGGTGAGTTGTAGCTGAATTGAACAGCTCACCTATGCATACTCGTCTCTCAGGAAGTCTTCGTGTTTATAACATGGTTTTCTTACCGTTGTTTCCTTGTTAAAATGTAATGGCTTTAAGGGCCACCTGCTGGCCCTGGTCCTCGTGAGTGGTCACCCTCTAGTGTACTCAGACTTAAGTGACAACATGGGACAGAGGCTTCTTATCCCAGCTTCCTGGCCTATATTCCTTGGGTGCCCTAAAGCTGCCACCAGGACAGATATTGAAATAGTGCTTGTGAGCCTCTTGTTCCTCTATCGGTGGTGTCACACACGCCAGAGGTCAGCTTATTTGTAGAACCTGTGGCGATCATATTTACAGAACAAAATCAAACAAATTGTGCCCTTAAAATTGGTCAACTATTTGTTTTTTTTTGTTTAAAATGGGTTAGCTTTTTTTTTTTTTTTATTGTCAGTTAATAAATAGTGGCCGTGAGTATCGAAGGTTAAAGAAAAAAACGTTAAAATTGAAAAAAAAAAACAAAACCTATTCACCTACTTAATTCTTTTCTGAAAATTGGGAAAAGACCATCCTTTAATTTTAAGGTTATATAATGTCGTTTTGCAAGCGGTTTTACTTTCTTATTACAAGTATATGACTAGAGAAGCTGTTAACACCAGACAGATTGGGAAGGAAGGAATATAGTGGTAGGAAGGGGGAAATACAAGCATAGACAGTCTCCTCTTTGAAATAATCTAACCAGAATTCCTTATTGTTAGGCTGTGCATTAATATGTAATAATGACAACTTTGAAGCACACGTTTTAAAGAGCTTTTGGTTAAAGAAGAAAGCATTCATTTTAGATACAGGATGAGATAGGAAATCCTAGATAATACCGGTGTTCTCAGGGATGCACGTACAGGTCAGTGCTCACAGAATGCTCATTTCTCCCATAGTCCTCCCCAGCTCTTAGGATTTTGTTTCCCTTCCTGTAGTTTACTCTGTACCGGGAAGAGGGCCCTCAGCTTGTGTGTAGATACAGTATTTGCTTAAGAAATCAGTAAAGAATGGGATTGGTTTTGAAAAAAACTGTAAATATATCTTGTGTATAGATTAGATGAACATTCAAAATTAACTACAAAAGAGAAAATCGGAGTTTGTCAAAGTAAATAACTACTATTTTCCTTTTAAGTGGTGAAAATTTAGGGTTAGAATCCAAATACCTGAAGAAAAGGGAGGACAGCATTCCTCTGCGCGGGCTCAGCCAGAACCTCTTCAGTAATTCGGGTGAGGCCCTTCCCCAAGGCGGCGGCCAGTGTGTGTAGGTGGAGACGGGAGGCTGCAGGGAATGCGAACCCTCTCTCCTGTCGTTCTTTGCAGACCATCAGAAAGAGGGCATGTTAGGAGCACTGCAGACATCCTGCAAACCCACCGCGGTGCCCTCCTCCTCAGCGTACTTCCCCGGGCAGCTGCCACACAGCTAGTCCAGTGCCGCGCTGCCCCTGAGACGGTAGCGTCAGGTGGCCTGCAGTGAGCAGCACGGGACACCCCGCGAGCAGTGTCTGAGCCCACTGCCCCGTGCAGCAGCTTGTGCGTGTCACTGCCGGCGGACCGCTCAGAGGAGATTGTGCTTGGGGACTGGAGGCTCTGAGTCAGTGCCACGCTTTAGTGTGTGACCACGGTGCTTTACAGAACAACAGCGTGACTTCTATTAAACTCGGCCTTAGAACTTCTTACAAATTCCAAGGCAAGAGTGGATCTATGTAAGGGACATTCTAATTATAAGGACCATTTGGGCAAAGTGAAACTCTGCAGATGTAATGGGGAGCCAGAGAATGCTGGTCATTTGTTCCATCATTTTCCTTGGTAAAATAAAAGCTTAAATTTGCTAAGAATTATGAGGAAAAATGATTATCTCCTAAGACACCTGTATTACTGATAATTTGCAGTAAAGGGAAAAGTCCTACAGTTGAATTAATCCCTCACAGCAAGTGTTTTCCTTGAAACCTTTCAGTTAGGTATTGAATAAGTCTATTAAGTAATTCTGATAAATTTATTATAAAAATAACTTGGATGTGTATTTGCATGACTAGATTAGGTATAAAGTGCTTTAGTCATTTGAGCTGCAGTTTACAGAATTTTATTGCTTCCTGAAAGTCTATACTTGTCCAATTTTACTTTCATTTGGAGTTTTGTTTTTTTATGCAGTTAAATTTGTATTAGTGGAATTTTGTTTTAAAAATCAGTACTATACAAAAGAGCATCATGAATATTCATTGTACCTTTTAATTTCAGAATGGGTTTCTTTTAATGTTTGCTTTAATAAAGTAGGCAACTTTCTGTTGGTGTAAGTTTCAAGAATAGTTCCTTGGGAAAAATTGGGTGATTTTAAAAAATTAACCCAGAATTGTAGGGCCCATTCTTTTCTTATTGACAGCCATCCAGTCAGTGGAGTAGCATTCTCTTAAGCAGCATGTAAATCAATTTTTACTTACAAATATTGCTAATGTTCACTTAATCTTTTAAAAATTTTTCTCAAGGACTATATTATATAGATGAGGAAACACTTCCATATATTACTGACATATCAACAGTTCCAGGGTAAGACAAAGAATCTTTGCTAATTGAATGAAGCCATATTGAGCCTGATGACACTTTGAAACTGCTGGCCGTTACCAGGTGCTCTGAGCTAGGGAACTTACCTCACACACACAGTAACCATTAGGCAGTGACTTTCACGCCAGTCCTTCCTCGACGCATGCTCCGTTACTAGGAACAACTTGGTCACAGTAACTTGGAAGCACAGGTAACCTGGAAGGCAGCTCTTGCCCATGTTCCATCTGCTTCCTTGTAAATACTGTGTGATAGAGGGAGGAAGTTTACGGACAGGGTCGGGTGGGCTGACACACAGTAGCTTTAAATATGTCTGTCCACCCTTTTCCATATGCACACATGGAAAGTAGAATTCCCGGAAGATAGATGTGCCCAAGATTTTATAATAGGCGTTCATGCACAGGCTTTTGATGTGCTAATTCTTTGCTCTACCTCTTAAACTTGAAGTTGTTTGCAAAGTAGACATGTTAATAATGAGAATGTTGCACTTGATGTATTTCTGTGAACTGTTTGACCTTGGTTAGTATTAATATTTTGGGAGTAGGACATGTAAAAAGTATATAAAAACAGAAAAAGGACCGATCTGCAGCATCTCGGCTTAGAAAGTTGCTTTAACTTATGGACTGTTCTCACTTCTTGTCCTTCCTACAAAAGTATTTCATAGTGAAGGGAAAGAAATGGATTCAGAAAAGGTACAAAGCTGTGATTTGTTCCTGTAGAAATACTATGGTGATAAAGCCAGAGAGACCCTAGAGGGAATCACAGATCGAGACTTTCTTTAAAAAAAAATCATTAAAATATTTAATTTTATTAACAGAATATTTACATTTCTCTTAAGACCTTATTGAACCATAAGTGAATGTTCCAAGTTTAAAAAGCATTAAGCAATAATCACACACAAGATGAAAACAGTGTAAACTATACAATACTTTATGTACAATTTTTACAAAGTAACACTTTTTTAAATAATATAACTGGACACAAAAATATACACTTTAGAGAAATTCACATCAGTAATTGTATAAAGCTCTCCTCTAGGGTCCTGAAAATTTAGGACAAACGTTAGCTCTGTAAATAAAGTGTTACTGTGACAGTCCTGAAAGGCCACTATATATACTTATCTACGTATAGGTATCACGTTGACATTTCAAGGCTACCAGCTTTACTATATATTTTAGGTTATGTGTTCAAGTGTTGAGGTTATGATTATGCAGACAGGAAAGGATAGTGGTGTAAGCAGCTGAGGACAGCTTTGAGCCAACATGTAGATTACAGGCTCAAAACACGCAACTGAATGAACTACATGGCTGAGATTTTATTTAAAACCAGTGAAGGATGTTTAAAATGAAATCACACAAAACAGGCCTGAAACGTGATTCAGATTTAGTACACTTTTCTTAAGTTTCGTTTAATGCAAACAATTCCTCTACCTTTCTTTAGTGCATCTGCATTAAGGCTTTGAATTATTTGACCCATGGTTTTGCAATAGAACCACCTGACTCAGGGCTTTACAGTTAGAAACGAACAGGTCCACAGCCACACTTCCTGATCTGTGCTGCGAGTTGGCACAAACAGCTAAAGCTCAACCCTGGAGAAATGACAGCAGAGACGCTGCTAGTATCTAAGAAGTCACATATAGAGCTTTTAATGGAAGGGTGTATATAATAAAACAAACAGCTTAGTGGCAAGAAAGTGGTGCTAATAAACAAAAGGTTTCTTTTCAAAAGAAATTGTAACATCTTTGGAAAACCGTCCAGTTCGTTCTCGAGTTCCCAGGAGTCCATGCAGATACGTTTCTTAGACACCCTCAAAGCGTGTCACAGACGGAAGTGGAATGTACATCAGTCCCACAGGTGCAACTGCGGCCACCACATGTCACACGTTCGTGTCCTGGAGTAAGGGTTCTTTGGCCTCTCCTGGTGCCTGTGTGCTGTGTGGATGGCTGTGGCCACCACAGTGCTTCCTCCAGCTGCTGGACCGCAAGCTCAGGTTGGTGTGTTCTGGGATGAACAAGGCCACCAGCAGAGCCAGCAGCACCGAACAGGCTCCAAAGAGAAAGGGGGGGCCCGGGATGATGGAATTCTGGGGAAGAAAGAAAACTATTAGCATTTTTGCATAAACATCTTTGCCCATAAGAAGAGATGATTATCTTTCAGTAATAATGGATTACTAAATTATAAGCCGCTGCTCCTCTCAGCATTAAAGCCAGTTAGAAAAAGCATCCCCTTTCCAGGAGAAAGGGGCACTATCAGAGTCTCAACATGAAATTTGGGGGACACCTGACCCAAGGAAACAGCCTGTGCAGAAATACCATCACTTGGAGCACAAAAGCTGGACACATTCTTTGCGTCTTCCCTTCAAGAAGAAAACAGCAGAGATCTCAAAACTACTGCCCGCAGGGGCAGAACCAGTGAGCATTTTTTGAGTGACTTCAAGTGTGGGGAACAGAAAGTGCTGTGGCCATGAGAAGACGCAAACAGGCCTTTGTTTTAGCCAGAACTCACACTGCCAGTCCTACCCGTGGGATTACCCACAAACCACCACGTTATTAACTTAAAACCAGTCTGAGCTGGTGACAAGATGAGTGAAGAATTCTGCTAAAGCAAGGAAACTGATGAGCAGTCTATGTTGGCTAAAGTATGCACAGCCAATCAGGCTTTGGTTTTTAAGTGTTTTAGTCAATCTCAAATAGTGAGAATGTCACACAGCCTTTATGAGCAGCTGAATGAACTATCTTTACCTGTTCAAAGTGGTGCTGTGGGCTGGTGTTTGTACCCAAGTCCGCTCCTGTCATCGGCAACTCTTTCAGTTCCACGTGGAATATATAGAAAATGAACCCGTACAGAGCTGGTCCGAGACCGTTGCACAGCCCTCGAATTCCTGTTATCATTCCCTGGACGACACCTAGATGGTTGGAACAGTGGATCGCTTAGTGCACCACAGATTCCCGGCTGCTCTGGACTAGCACCAATGACCAAAACCCAGAGCTTTCCCCAGAGGCTGCGGTTGACTGATGGCACAGCAAGTGCAGGGACCAGCTGTGCAGAGGGGAGCTCGGGGTGGGGGTGGCACAGGACCAAGTGGGCAGCAGCTCTAGTCCTCTGTGACAGCTCCCAGGCTAAGAACCAGGCATGAGTTCACCAGCACGACTGTCACTGTGTCCCGGGCAGCTGTGTTCCCATTTAATCAGAGGGGACATACATTCCTACCTATCTGTCCCTGAGCTGTTCTCGTTTAAACTGCGACTTGCTTTCCTTCCTCATTTACCAACCAAGTGGCCACTGCTGCTTGTAAGACCCCTGTTCCATGACTACTGGCCTTTGCAAAGAATTACTAGCCTTCAGGAATTAAATGTTCCCACCACAAAGCTGAGACAACAGAAATGTCTGCCCTGTGTGCTTATTAGATCACTGAACCCGTGAGACTTGCACAGGGTTGTGAGGGTCCCCGGTGTCTAGTGCATCAGAGCAAACAAAACTGACCGTCGGATATAAGGGGGTCACAGTGAGAGACAAGGCTCTGTCTCCACCCCAGCAGAGGACACAGGGTTGGAACATTCTGTGCTCACAGCTCTCTCCCAGCAGCTCACCTTGTTGATCGGCGTCAGCAGTTCGGGACACGAGCGCACTGACGGCGGGAAAGGTGATGCTGGACATGGCGGCCACGGCCCCCGCAGCCCACATCATCCTGCGGGCAGAGCGACAAAGCTGACACCCTGCTCCCCACCTGCCCGGCACCACATGAGCTCTGTGTGCTGGGAAACCTGTCACTAGGTCCCGGAAAGATTCTCCCTCCCTTGGACGTGGGGGGAAAAACAAACACGAAATGCTTCCAAACTCGTGAGGTCAGTACTTCCCGCAGGCTCCCACTAACTTCTGATTCAGCGGAGGTGTCACGGATTTGATCAAAACTTTGGATGCTCCTGGTTTGATGTTTAAAATGTTTTAGATAAACTGAACAGCTCCTAAAAGCTAGACTAGACAGCACACCAAGTCCAAAGAGGTGTTGCGTTTGTGGAACATTGGTGCAAACTGGAGTTGTCCTGACACCTGAGAACAGGTGGACGTGGGCATCCCCCTCCTCTTCCCCTCCCCTCCCCAGGGAGCCAGCCTGGCAACCAGGGCAGACGTATCTCTGCAGGAAGCTGGTCCAGAACTGCTGGATGTTTCTCCCAGACTCCTGGTTTGCCATCGGTGTTATCACTGGGGCTACTTGACTTCTAACCAGAGAAATGGAAAAGGTAACACTAACTTTCAGGGCCCTGCTGCTATGGGATTATGTGCTTTTTTCCTAATGACACAAACTCACTGAGGCATTAAATGCTCATTAGAGATTCAAAGGCTCAGTAATCTCAAAAACCTGTGATTCAGCTATAAAATGTCACCTTTCTGTCCTCACATCCTAGGATATTAACACACAGGAAGAAATGTGTATTATACACAGTTTGAGAGAGAAAAAGCACTGGAGGAGACTGAAGTCTAAGCTCCAGTTGAGAAGCAAATAAAAAACTACAAAAACTCAAATATATCTCAAAGTGAAAAGAAATACAAAAGAGGCAAACACCAACATTTTTAAGAAAATTAAGATAATTACACCTACCAAGGTTCTGAACCGAAGCCATACCACGCCAGCTGCAGTATTTGAAATCCCAGGCCCAATAAGATGGTGTTCTTATTTCCAATTGATCTCATAAGTAAACTCAAGACTATGGTCTGGGAAAAGAAAGACCAAAATGGTTTGTCAGAATACAGTAACTTTAAAAAGGAAACATTTTTGGTGACTTTCAACCTATATCAAGAGGATTAGCACATGTTCCTACATTTGCCTTTCCAGCAACAGTTGCCCTGAAGGTATCTGACCATCCCCCCAGGTCACAGCAGCAGAGACGCGGGCCCTCTGCTGGCAGATCCAGAGCCAGGGAAACTGAAATAGAAAGGTGAGCTTCATTCTGTACATTGCTATTGAGCACCCCTCAAATGAGAGGTTAAAGTAGGGGGTCAAAGGGTTCTAACCAATGACTCGGGGATCCCTATCATGTACTAACTATGAAAAGTTACAGGTCCAAGTTACTCTGAAATGCTTATTCCCCAGTAAGAAAAACCCGAACTGCAGTCACTGGTGTAGCATTCGCCTCAGGTCATCCACTGCTGACACCGTGGTGCTGTGCGCTCAGCCAGCCAGCTGACAAGCAGGTTTGGGAGGACGGTACAGTGACCACAGATGGAGCCTCTGGGCGAAGAGCCTGCGTCAGGACCCTAGCTGGTGGTGTGGCCCTGGCAGGTCACTCCACCCTGACACTGTCTCTTGCAGTGTCCCTTCCAAATGGCAGTCACGGCACCCACTTCCAACTGTCCTGCCCACATCATGTGCTCGGCACCGTGCCTGGCACAGAGCAAGCATTTAATAGACACTATTGTGAGTTGATGGGTTTTCCTGTTTCTCATTTTCCTTCAAAGTGAACAAATTCTGCAGTGATTTGGAAAATATTTTTGCTATTCTAATTAAGGTATTACATGTACCGCACAAGAGAGCTTAGTAAGTCCATCAAAGAAGAAATGGAGATAATCAGGAAATCACTACTTGATGACTGGCTGACATTTGAAACTCACAATCACCAAGTGTAAAATTCCTTGAAATGAGACAGTTATTTACAAATGAGTTTAATCAGATTTAATCACAAGTTAGTAGGAAGCAAAGGATTCCTGAACGATTAGGATTCAGCATTCTCTCCTCTGAGACTCTCCCTTCAATCAGGGGAGCACAAGACTGAGCTCCAGAGGACTGAGTCTCCAACTAGAGCCACAAAGGGGAGCCACGCAGAGGAGGCAGCGCGGAACCTCCTGCTCACAGGCACGCTGCTCGGGATGCCGGTTCTCTCCTCGAGGACAGGGACTTCTCTCTCATCTTTGTATCCCCAGCACCCAGCATGAGTTCTTAAGTGTTTATGAAAAGCACGTGTGATTTTAAATGTCATAATGTTCTCAACGATAATGGGACATACCACTTAGTGTATACGGTGTGCAAAGAAAAAAGATGTAGTGTCCTGCCATCTAGTGTAACTCCTTTTGAAGACAGATTAAATGATTTATGATGTAACCAAGATAACAGCTAATAGTTAACCGACACCAGCACTGGCCAGTCAGGCAAATATCTGCCAAGGACCTACTATGACCAACTGTACTCTGGGCCTGAGGGCAGTGACCTGTGTGGGTCAATGAACAGGGAAAAGTGCTGGCCAGCCAAAGGTTACCTCCTGGTGGAGAGAAGACGGACACAAGCACACTTCACGAGACAGTCCCAGGCTGTGCTGCCATGAAGAAAAGCAAGCAGGGTAGTGACGGGTGCTGCCTGACCCCAGATGGGCAGGGACAGCCTTTCTGAGGCAGCACCTCAGGGGACAGCCGGAGGAGGAGGAAGGTGGGAGGAGAGGGGCAGCGTGGAGGGCATGGCCTAGTGCATGCCACACGGAGACAGAAGTGAGGCCATGTCAGGTCTAGATTTTATTCTGGTTGCAGGGACTTAGTAAGTTCATTGCCATATGGTAAACATTTGCTGAATGAATGAGTCAACAAAAAATGTAAAATTTCTCATTTTATATAGGTATATACCCTGGTGTAAATCAATAATCTGACTTATACATCGTATGTTGATATGTCAGTCCCTAAAATCTGATCAATGTTAGCTACCGGACAAGATTAAGTTTCTGAACCTGTAACCCACAGAGCCTGACAGGGTGACTCTACCGAGACCCCATCCCCCAAGCATCACTGGAGGCCCATCTGGCTGGCCAGCCAGGCTCCACCCTCTATGACATCACTCTGTCCAAGAGAAACTCACCTGGGCAATAATGGAGAGAATGCCGAGAACTGCTATAAAGGCGGCCACACTTTCTGGTGAAAACTTCATTATCTAGAAGTTTCCAGGAAAAGTTACATTAGTAAATAAAGTACAGTAAACACCACACTAATGCAGCTCTTGTCCATTAACATTAGATGGGCCAGAATGAAACCAAACTACTCATTTATAACCAAAGGATTCTTCTGAAAGGATCCGCTTTCACTGAGAACCAGGATTTATAACGTGTTAATGTGCTAAACATAATACCTATTTAATTCAGGTTAAATAATCTAAATCCCTTTGTTTCCATTTATGAACCTGGAGATAGCTGTCCAGCACTCAGAATCCATTTCACAAGTAGAGTTTTTCTCTGCCAGTGAGATTGGTGCAGGAGGGAAACTACCGCTCCCTGGGCAGCCGCGTTGCTAACACATGCACCAGATCAGAGACCGTCTCCAAGTGGCCTGAAGCTCTAGCCCATCACCCGCAGGAGCAAGAAAGCAACAGACTCTAACCACCCTGACCGTGTGGCATGGAAGCAATGCCAGTGGGCGGGTGTGCACAGGGGACTTGTTGCTAACGGCCTCCGCCAGTGCAGCTCCCTTGGATGAATGCTGCTGTTACCACGGCACTGAACAGTGAGGGAGCCGCCCGGGGACAGGGCTCACCTGTCTGAGGTACAGGAAGAAGCTGGAGTACTGGCCCGCCTCCGGGAGGTAGGAGAGGAACACCGTGATGCAGATGAGCAGCACGATGGAGTCCTGGCCCACCTTCTTCAAGGACTAGAGCGAGAGAGACACGGGTGAGCCTTTGTACCCAAGTGCTGAACCGCCACTGAGACCGTGTGGAGGTATCTGGGCAGCGTCCAGACAGACACCCAGATGTCTTTTTCGTTAGTTTACTTCACCACCCCCCCCAAAGTAGCTTCACAAGGAGCTCAGATTATTTTCCCCAAAGAGACAGTCACACGGCATCCCTGCTGCCAACTCGCATTCACTTTCTGCCAAAGAGAAGGGAGAGGGCGAACTTGCCGCGAAGGGGTCAGCCTGCTCCCAGGAGATGGGCGCCCCCCAGGACGCCGGCCGCATCTTCTCGGGCAGAGACTCGGGCACAGCCACAAGGATGAAGCAAATGTCCAGCAGCGCGATCGCTGTCGCCAGGACCACCACCAGGCTGTCCCCGTACACGCGTCCAAGGTACGCTCCGATGGCTGGGCTGATCACCAAGCTCGCGGCAAATGTTGCCGACACCTGGAGCAAGGCAAGGTCAAAGGTGAGACGTGTCAGGACACTGTGACCAGACTAACTGGTGTCAGCCCCTGCTGCCCCCCCCCACCTGCCCAGTGCCTCACATACTCTCCTGCAGGAAGGAAAAGGATCAGAGTCTTAGCTAAAAACTCTATCACCTGTGGCCTAATCTAGCTGCACGTGGTTCCTGCATTTTCAGAGTTGTGAACACACATAACGCAAAGGCTAAAGAATGTGAGGGATGACACAGGGCCACCCAGTCACAGACAGGTCTGCTGGTCTCGGAGCTGGGTGTTAGCCTGCTGATTTTAGACCAGCCACTGAATATCAGTAATTGACTCATGACATATTTAACTCCTTAGTTGTAGTATAACATTCAAAAGAACTTCAACAATGTAAAAATATTCTACTGTCATTTCAAATCTGACGTGTGACTACTATCGAAACTTACAAGGCCCTGTACTGAAAAAAATGTTTAACATAGTCTAAAGGGATGATTTTATTATGAAATGTGATTTATGTGGAAATACCCTTGTCACGCAAAGACGTGCACTCCCTGTACAAGAAACAAGCCAGGGGCTTCCCAGCAGACACGCAGGTAGAAGACGCACACACACCTGCCCGTAGGCCATGCTTCTTTCATGTTCTTGGGTTATGTCCGCCACGTATGCGAACACCACGGAGAAAGTCACTGCAAAAACCCCAGAAACAGAGATGACAGCAAAGTACCACCTGGATTGAAAGACAAGGACAGGAGATGGTGAGAACAGTTCCTATGGCCTCCCCTGCCTGTGTTCCCACAGTGACTGAGACAAAGGACGGCTCACTGCCGTCAACAGCTCACGGGGCAGTTTGATTCCTCTATAGATACTACGAAAACATCAACTCAGCTGCTGGGCAGGAAACTTAAAATCAGTGTCTTCAGGTCAATCTTTTACCAAACTTGAATTTTTAAATGGCTTTGTTAATTCTACTTAAAACAGCAACAGAGCCTATTACAATTCAACCTTCACTACCGCCCACAGCACTAACACAAAACAGTAAATAAACCTGTGTTTACCGAGCCTCTATATAGAAACTAGATGCTCCTCCACGTTCTCTTTAGCTCCTTAAATGTTGGCCACACAAGTAACTCAGTCTTCACATAGCAACAACCATGGCAGCACTCACATTACAACCGAGAAGTGTTACCATAAAGCGTGAACCAGGTATTTTAAAAAGCTATGATTCCAAACAAGAAGTTTCTGTGTCATGCTGCTGTTTAGTTTTTAAAATCACGTGTGAGCATCTGAACTTTTGAAGTATCACTGCCTTCGCAGCTTCGAGTCCTGAGACCTTATGACCTACATGCTACTCCACTTACCTGTGTCAAAGACTAAATTAAAAGAATGCAATTAAAACCTACCTAAATAGGGTAACCCAAAAGTGAAATAAATAGGGGACAGTTGGAAATAATGAGCAGAAAGTGCTCTTTAATCCTACAGCCTGACAACGCACATACCATGGGCTGATCTTCATCAGCGGGATGGGGGCGCACGTGAAAAACACTGTTAGCAGCAAGAAGGACTTCCGGCCCCAGACGTCAGAGAGAGCACCAATAAGGGGGGCACTGAGGAACGACAGCAAACCCTGACAGAAGGCAGATGAAAGCAAGTGTACATGACGCATACGATGAGCCAAAAGTGAATCATTTTACTATGAGGAGAATTTTAAACAAGTTTAATTCTGAAATAAATATATCAACCATCGTAGATGGACAACTTATTTCTTATCTGTAATTTTAGGGTTTCCCAGGACTCTAGAATTACCGCAGGGTCTGGTTGTGTATTAAATATGAAACGCCTCAGTGATTTCTCAACGCCAGTAACGCCACATCAGGGTTCCAGAAAGAATACTGTATTAATTACATGTTTTTATTCTCATAAGCTATTTACCTGTTTACAAAATTTGGTTAAATGAAATCTAGAATAAAGAACATGCAGCCTGGTAAAGTTTAATATTTCTACATTTCTAAAATAGTTCTTTTCTCTTCCATTTATATTCCTACTGGTAGTTTACAAAAGCACTCAGATCTCTGCAATAAAAATGCCAACATATGGGGAATCTGGTATGATGGGATTTATCAGTGTACACAGTTGGCTACATTTGAGTCAAGTTAGATTTAAAACCCAGTTAGTTTAAACACTTAAGTAATCCCCCAACATATACTCCAACTGTGACAATTAACACTTAGTGGGTCACTCAATTAACCAACTTAACATACTGGCAGGACCACAGACAGTGCCAGTACATTAACTGCACGCGTGTGCACACAGGTGTATGAATGCGAATGTACGACTCATGTACCTTTACTCCTTGAATGAGGCCGTTCATCAGGAATGTGTGTTTCGGGAAGGTCTCATGTAACACCTGAAGAGTAAAAAATCACGGAAAATCTCATGCTGCATTTTAGTCTCAGTACCACCTCTATATTTACATTTTAAAACATCCCCTCGTAACACAACCTCATTTTATTTCACATAAACGTTCAGCTCTGTCTGACACCACCAAACACGTATGGGCACTCACTGAGCCCGAGGCATCAATGTGGGCACTGGACACACATCGTGTTCTTTAATCCCTCACAAGGGCCCTGTGAGGCAACACACGGGGTCAAACGTCCTGTGCAGGCTACACAGGAAGTGTCAAAGCTGACACTGAGCACAGGAAGTCAGGTTGCGAGCCCAGGCTGTGTCATCACCTCGCCGGTCTGCCTCCCACACAGAACCGGCTGCTGTCACTCCCTTACGGACGGGTACAGATGATCAGATATCTAAGACAGAAGACTGGGGGAGTAATGGAGTAACAGGGAAATTTTAATTGCCAAAAAGTGGATCTAGAAAGATTCATAAATAAGAAAAAAGATCCCAACCTGTGAAAATGTCTAGTAAGTTACTCTGGCCTCTCAGGCCAGCTGTCAGACCCCCGGGCACGGTTTGCTCCCTAGGTAGCGGGGAACCACCGGGAAGCCGTGGCCCAAAGAGCAGCTGGAGGAACGGTAACGGGAACTACGAAGCGGCAGCTTCGTTTCCCTGCCTGTGCCAGAGGCTGTCCCTGCTCTATACTTCACTGTAACCACTCTGCAGTAGGTAAGGTCACCGCTTTACAGACGGACAGCTTCACTGTCCNACCACTCTGCAGTAGGTAAGGTCACCGCTTTACAGACGGACAGCTGAGCTCCTGCTGGACCAGGGCTCCTCCCTGGGCCACACTGTCCCTCAATAAGACAGCAGAGGAGGCCAGTGTAGAGGCCAGAAGGGTGGGGACTCTCCTTGGGCAGAAAACTGCTGAGTGTGCTTCCTGACATCTTGCCAGAAAAACTTTCACAAGAGATCGAATGCCCCCTTCCCTTTCCAGTTCCTCTACTGCTGCCATTAACTTGAAATTCCACAATTAACTCACATGTAAAAATAAAGAAAACTAGAAATGAAACGTTATAAGAACTTAAAAAAATTGAGAGTGGAGTAAATAGTCCACAAATACTAAGTGCCTGAGGGCTGCCTGCAGCAAGTAGCTGGGACCAGCAAACACTGGTCTAGGGTCTCCAGAACTGCAGGTCAGTCAAAGGGAAGCGACTTCTCAGCATTACGGAGCCTTAGACCTGCTCTCAGTAGTTCTCCTTATGGAGTGTGTTACTTAATCCAATCACTAATCGCTGACTCAACACCTACGGTCATAACCTCTCAAAGTATTAGACTTCAGCTCTTCAAAACGTTTTCCAGTATAAAGTCCTTCTGTCGCTAACGTAAACCTCATGTTGGGAGGCCGTCATCCTCCCAGGGCAGGCCCTGCACTCAGACGCTGTCTCTGGTCTGCATGCTACGAGGGCCAGCTTTCTACAAGCTCTATGGGCTTTAAGACAAAGATAACAGCAACCACATGAAGTAGAAATTGAGTGATTAACTTCACATTTATCCTAAAAACTAAGGCTATCATAAATTCCAAACCAAACATTATAATTAATATGTCTTAAGACTGGCTGTCCATTAAATGAATTAAGAACTATCTTTGCAACTTAAAACACTGAAACTTAAACTCTGCTGTGACTCTAGCGCACAGTGTCTAGAATCAGCTTCAGAAAACAGATCCGAGTGCCAGGACTAAGTGCCTTCCTCCCCGAAACCCACCTCTTCGAGGGCCGCTGGCAGCTTGGCCAACACTGAATCTACCAGGCCAGCAGCTGGGCCCAGACCCATGGCCTGCAACATGGAACCGCTCCACTGGCACCCCATGCCTGAGCCCTGGCACAGGCAGGCTGGGTCCAAACGCCAACCACAACCATAGTTCACTATCTCAGTAGGCAGCAAACGCTTAACTCTTGAGCCTTCGTTTTCTCATATCAGGCGTCTAAATACCCCACCACTCGAAGGTGGTGCTGAGGATTAAACATGATAATGCATTAAAGTGCTCAGGGCTGTGCCGGGGCTGTGATAATGTAAACACGTGGACTGGTTGCTATTACAGAGCTCAGGGACTTCAAACCACAGATAGTTTCCACCTTGCGCTGGGAGATTACAAACGTGTGCCCTGGAGCTAGTGTAAAAGTGTGCAACCAGCTGGGGCAGCACCCGGGCCCTTGACCTCAGCTCATTACAACACAGTGAAGCTGCCAGTGTCACAGTGAACTCCTCTCAGCCAACGAAGCTCCAAAGCAGTGAACCTGGACTATTGGGGAGGAAATGTGTAAATTCACGTTGAAAAGATTCCCATCAGAATCATTCAACTACAAGAAAGATCAATTTTGAAAGCCCACTTTCAAGTATTTTGAAAACCCATTTATGTAAAACTGGTACCCACTCCAGGTAAATGAGCTGTGGAAAGAATCACAACCCAGGCACGCATCGACTCTCTTACAGACCATGTCAGACAAGGTTCCAGTTCAGGGAGTGAGTCTAACCTGCAATGAATGCATGGTTCACTACAGAAAGAATTTATTTATTTGAGATTCTCTTTTCTTCTCAATCCTGCTGTAGCAGCACTCATCCACATGCCCTGTATATTCAACATAACTTAGAGATCCACATTTTGTGTAGATACAGTACTGACTGTGTGGCCATATAATAAACATGCCAAGAAATAGGGAACATAATTTTCTTAGACAATTTCAATCTACTTATGTGATCATCCAATTTATTAACCTTTTTGAAGAAACTTTTTCTGTGTAACAATGGACAAGCTCAGGAAAGCATAAGGAAGTATACTTCCTGGGAAGTCTGTTCTCCTGGGATTTGGTAAACTGTACGGTTCCCCTAATTACACATCTTGGATAAGACTTCCGGTGACACCCCTCGTCTACACTAACTCCTTCCTCCTTCCAGTTCCCTCGTCTACACCGGCAGAACACTAGCTAGCATGTTACTTGCTCAGTCTGGCAAGGAGGTGTTTTCTAAGGTTCCAAGCTGGGAATGTTTGGGTAAAATCAGCTCAGGCCTGTGAAAAGAATCACCTTTCTACATGATTACCTCTAGATCCTGAGCTTAAACTAAAAGAAATTTGTACGTGGAAAATGCATCTACATGAATGAATCTCCAAACAGTCCTGCAGAGTGACGCCTAAGCCCCTCGGTGTCAGAACCCTTTCCACCCTTGCCAAGCCCAGTGGTGGAGCCCCTGCTTAAACATGCTCCCCCCCAAAATCACTCTGCCAAGCCCCCAAACGGCAAGGGAGATGGAGGGGCTGAACGAGACAACTGCAGCAGTCAGCTCCAGTACTGGACGGTGACAGCAGGAGAGGGAGAATAAACCAGGGGAATGGAAACGGGCTGCCTCACTCCCCACCCAGGAACTTCAGAGAAACAGATTTAAAGTAAGTGATAAAGTAAGTGATAAAAGATTACTTACCACCAGCGTGGGTGCCGTCAATAATCCCCAAGCAAAAAATTCCAAAAAGATGACGATAACCGCGTGATACACACTAGGAGAGCCTATTCCTTGAGGCTAGAAAAACAGATTTTGAACAAGTTAATGGTGCATAACATCCGAAGTACCAGGAGTAAGAACCTGGGGCTCTGCCTCTCTGGGCATATTTCATTTTGCTCAGTTTTTATTTTCAACCAAGCAGCTCACACCTTGCCCTCTATCTCCTCGTTAAAATCATTTTACCAACTTGCATGGGAAAATCTGTGCATTCTTTACTTTGTCAGAGCCACCGCAGTCCCACAGCTGTGTCATAAAACAACAAAGGGCATATAAAAAAGCAGAGTTAAGAGAACTCATAAGGGAAATTCTATTTTTGATAAGATATAAATGTAACTCTGGAGCTTAGCCTCCACCAGGAAGGCTCACACACAACCTGGTCATACATGAAAATAATCTAACCATCAACAAAACACCAAGAAAACCTACAGAAGGGGAGAACGTATTTACCAGTGACGTATCTGGTAAGGGTTAACACCCAAAACATATACGAAACTCATACAACTTTACACAAAAGGACAAACAATTCGATTAAAAAATGGGCAGACCTGAACAGACACTTCTCCAAGCAGGACACAGGAAAAGATCTGAGGGATGCAAATTAAAACCACAGAGAGATCACCTCACACCTGTCAGAATAACTGTCACGGATAAGTCAACAAACAAGTGCTGGGGAGGGTGTGGAGAAAAGGGAACTGCTGGTGGGAATGCAGACTGGGGCAGCCTCTGTGCAAAACAGAGTGCAGGTTCCTCAAAAAGCTAAAACTACAACTACCATATGACCCAACAATTCCACTTCTAGGTGTTTATCCAAAGAAACCCAAAATGCTAACTTGCAAAGATATTATGTACCCCTCACCCCTGTGTTCACTGCAGCCTTATTTACAAAAGCCAAGATGCCAAAGCAACCTAAGTGTCCACTGACAGGAGAATGGATGAGGAAGGTGTGGCACATATGTACACACAATGGAATATTACGCTGCCGTAAAAAGGGAATCTTACCAGCTGTGACAACATGGAGGGACCTAGAGGGTGTTATGCTGAGTGAACTAAGTCAGACAAAGAAAGACAAATACCATATGATTTAGCTTATATCTGGAATCTAAAAAACAAAATAAATGAACAAAACAGAAACAAACTCATAGATACAGAGAACAGACAGGTGGTTGCCAGATGGGAGGGGTGCTAGGGGGTTGGGTAAAAAAGATGAGGGGATTGAGAAGTACAAATTGCCAGTTATAAAAATAGTCACGGGGATGTAAAGTACAGCACAGGGAATATAGTCAATAATATACTAATGATGTACAGTGCCAGATGGGTGCTAGACTTACTGGGGTGAGCACTTTGTAAGGTACATGACTGTCTAATCCCTGCTGTACATCTTAAACTAATACAATATCGTATGTCACCTGTAATTGAAAGATACATTTAAAATATTTTTAAGCAGTTAATCTCCCCCCCAAAACTGAAAGTATTCTAAAATGTCAGAATGCACTTTTTAATTCATCTGTCCTTAATGGTCCACACTGAATAAGAGATATATCAAAATGTTACATACGTTAAGATTTTAACTAAAAACACTTATTTCTACATATTGGATACTGCAGAAAGCAAATTTATGATAATGCAATAATATCGCAATACTTTCATCAGTGAAATGATGCACAGATGATGAAATATTTGCTGAATTTAACCTGTGGAATTTTTCGATACTGAATTATGGTGTTTTCGAACTGAACAACTGTTCTTAACCTTCCAGGAAGTATGGACCCTTCTGGGAACCTCCCTAGAGAAATGTAAGTCAAGGAAAATTGTGCAAACAAGTTCAAGGTGAGCAGACCCAAGAAAGAACTCCTGATATACAGGGTGGGCAAAAATAGGTTTACAGTTGTAATTACGTGAAAGTTTATTCTTTTATTATTATTTATTTATTTTTGTATTATTTTCCATGAACAACTGTAAACCCCCTTTGCGCCACCCTATAGAATCACACATCTTCATGCCCTTTACCTTAACTATGTACAACTCAAAACAGGCGACCTAGTGGTAGCTCTACCCTGGCTGCAAAGCCAAACGAAATACAGGAACTTATGATTAACCTGGTTCATTTTGAAGGGCTCACTTTCAATTGTTAAACACTGTTATAACTTTCTGACAAATCATCAACAGCTCATTACAAGTCCTGTTGATGAATGTTAAAATTGGCTGATCAGGCTTACCAAGATGACATCAGCAGAGAACAAAGCAAAATAACTTTATTAACACTGCTGAACACTAGCAAAAAAACTGAAGGGGTGAGAGTAGTACCGTGATCCACTGTTGAGAGCCTGTCCTGCACAACCACATCCTCAGACACTTAACTTTGAATGAATCCACCCACTGGTGCAACTCACACACACCCAGGAAGAACTAAACAGTATCAAATGGCAATTTTACTCCCTTTCTTAAAAAATGTTCGTAATAGTGGTAGTCTGACCAATTCCAAGTAGAGGCCAACAAGCAAATGCCATTTTAAAGTCGTATCTATGATATTATAAAAGTTTCACTTATTTTTATAATTTATTTATTTTTGAAATTGATTTTTAGAGAGATGAAGGGGGAGGGAAAGAGAAACATCGATGTGAGAGCAAAACATCAATGGGCCACCTCCTGCAGGCCCCCACCTGGGATTGAGCCTGAAACCTGGGCGCGCACCCTGAGCAGGAATTGAACCAGCAACCTTTGGGTGCACAGGACATAGCCCAACAGACTGAGCCACACGGGCCAGGACAAAAGTTTTACTTTTAAAGTTATGCTTTTTTTTTTTTTTCTCTTTCATTTAAAACTCCAGTGGATTAAAATACAAACTCTGCAAAAAATTACCCTGACACTTACAGAAATATCTCCTGATAGAAATATCTCCTGATAGAAATATCTCCTGATCATATATAGGAATAAATAAAATTATAGCAAAATAATGTAGGACTGTGTTGGCACACATATTTTTTTATCTAAAACTTTAAATGTGTTTTTACCACTTTAAATTCACATACTAGACCCTGCAGGATTCACAGCCTACACAGAGCCTCTATTCTACAGGGCTCTCCAGCGCTCTGTGAGGGGAAAGTGCAACCTAACTGCATCAAGAGGATAAGTGGTAATATCCTCAGGTCCACAGCCCTCCAAAAGCTTTATTCTGTGCCCTTAAAAATGTCGTGAGTTGTGTCCAAAAGCAAGCTATGAATTCACTACAACTTTGATAAATAGCAAGATAAAAAAAGATAAAGAATCTCAAATCTCGAAGGATGAGCAATGAAAGCATCTGCTGAGTGAGTCAAATCTAGAAAGAGAGGAAACAAAACTGACTTTACCAGGAAAGGAAGGTGCCTTCCTTGATCAGCTTCATCAGGCCATCTACAAAGCACACGGACCTTACCTATCGCTTGCTTTTATAAAATACAACCCTGTGCTGCTTCTATTTGTAGGTTTTTAAGACTTTAACACATCAAGTCCCCATGGTGGACAAAGGCATCCAGTATTCTTTCAAGCGATGTCTCTTTCCACCAGGCACTTTTTACCAACTTGCTCAAAGGAGCCAGGGCCATCGACACCTGATTCAGCCAGAGCGATGCTTTCATTCAAGTACAACAGGATCTGAGGGCTTGAACTGCAGTTTCTTTTTTCACCAAATGTCAAATCTATGACACCTAAGAAACTTGACAGCTAACTAAAATTATACTCTGAAATTGTCACGTACGTCCCAAGCTTTCTAAATGTTAGCATACTGACTGGCCGTATTCTGAAATGTCAAAAAACATATATAT